TAAAAGCACAAGGAGGAAATTGTTATTTTTCATGGAATTCTCATAATTTATCCTATATGTCTAAATGGCAGCCAACTGTCTGAACCCATGAAACAGTAATGGCTTTGCCTTTGCAAAAAGTTTAGAATTGCTGCTGATGATTATTTTAATTTTAGTTAAGGGAGGGGGGGATTAAGATTTAAGATTTGTCAATGAACACTAAAGATTTTATTTTATTTTAATTTTATAATTGTAAAAGATTGGCAATGATGTGATGCTCCAAGTTGTATGATTAATTTATTGCTTAACCCCCATGAATTGTGGGCCAAGCTTTCAGGACATGAGTGTGATGATAACTATGATGGCGATAGTAATTTAATCTTGTGGCTCTTATTTATAGGAGGATTCTATTCAATCTACTCCCAACCCCACCCTATTATTATTTACAATTAATCTTCATTTCACTTGCACTTTTCACTGTTGGAAAATTACAACCTCACTTAATTCATGACTTCACTTTGACTGATATTAGTAGCCGCAATTAGGGTTAATTTCATCTATCCATTTATCTTTCTCTTCTTTTTTTTTTCTTTTTTTCTGGTGACCGAGGGTGTTTAGATTAACTTCTGTGTACTATAACTAATCTTTTGAAACTTTAAAGTTAATAATTTTCAAAAGTTGTTATAATGTTTGAATTTAACGATTTCTTACAGATGAGTAAAGTGAATCCAATTGACTATTTAATTAACATCATAATAATAATAATAAAAACATAATATAAGTCTACTTGAAATATATAATTAACTTAATTCTTCACGTTAATTAAACAATTATAATTGACTAATAATATTACCAACTACAATGACTTTATAATAATTAATATCCAACCGATGAATTAAATATCGATAGGATAAAGTTACCATTCTAGTCAAAGCTAATACTTAAATTTCCATGTTGAAAAATTACTGTAGATTAGGTAGACCAATAAAAAGATGCCAAGAGTGAAAAAAAGTTGATGAGGTGGCCATTGCCGTCACCAATCGTAAGCTATTTCCATCCTAAGGCATCATAAAATAACAAATTACCCCCTTGTTGTCGCAGTTTCTATAATCCGATCCGTTAAAAACTTAAAATAAACAGTGAGACTCCAAGTGAACACTAATTAAAGGGGCTAAAATATTATTTATTAAACCTAAGGGAAATATTATAACTCAGTGATACCTTAGGGGGAAAATAAAAATAAACTCATTCCAAAGCCGCTCTTCTTTGCTTTTCAGGTTCGTTTCGGCCGAAAAGTCAACAGTTTTAAGTTAAAGAGAGTTGGCCCAACACTTTCTCTTCTCGGGTCCACACGTTATTCTCTCTCTTCACCGCTTTTCATGATTATTATTGTTATTATTATTATTTATTTCCCGTATTTCATTCCGTATCTGGCGTAGTATTTTTTTATTATCAAAAATTAATTTCAATTTTATCTGGTTTTCTTTAGTTGATCACAAGAATCCAAGGTAGATAAAGATCCATCTACCTAATATNAAAACATAATATAAGTCTACTTGAAATATATAATTAACTTAATTCTTCACGTTAATTAAACAATTATAATTGACTAATAATATTACCAACTACAATGACTTTATAATAATTAATATCCAACCGATGAATTAAATATCGATAGGATAAAGTTACCATTCTAGTCAAAGCTAATACTTAAATTTCCATGTTGAAAAATTACTGTAGATTAGGTAGACCAATAAAAAGATGCCAAGAGTGAAAAAAAGTTGATGAGGTGGCCATTGCCGTCACCAATCGTAAGCTATTTCCATCCTAAGGCATCATAAAATAACAAATTACCCCCTTGTTGTCGCAGTTTCTATAATCCGATCCGTTAAAAACTTAAAATAAACAGTGAGACTCCAAGTGAACACTAATTAAAGGGGCTAAAATATTATTTATTAAACCTAAGGGAAATATTATAACTCAGTGATACCTTAGGGGGAAAATAAAAATAAACTCATTCCAAAGCCGCTCTTCTTTGCTTTTCAGATTCGTTTCGGCCGAAAAGTCAACAGTTTTAAGTTAAAGAGAGTTGGCCCAACACTTTCTCTTCTCGGGTCCACACGTTATTCTCTCTCTTCACCGCTTTTCATGATTATTATTGTTATTATTATTATTTATTTCCCGTATTTCATTCCGTATCTGGCGTAGTATTTTTTTATTATCAAAAATTAAGTTCAATTTTATCTGGTTTTCTTTAGTTGATCACAAGAATCCAAGGTAGATAAAGATCCATCTACCTAATATTAGATTATAAATGGATATTCTTCTCTTTTTATTTTATTTTATTTTAATCTAATTTAGTCGTATACGTCTTGCCTCAAGTATAAAATTTTGGATAAATTTTATTATTTTATTTAACATAAAAGGTTTTCAATAAATTTTGAAGTAATATTAGGAGTTTATAAATATAAATGATTACCCTTTATTAGGAGAATTTAGTTTCAACAAGCTTCCAGATCTAATTTGTAATAATTGAAATTAAATGAAGCCATCATATGATGTAAAGTGAATCAAATCTTGAAAAACAATGATGAGGTGGCAAGATCAGACCGCCACAGTGATGTGAACATGTAGGAGGATGACCTCATCAGCTGTAAAGTAAGATCCAACTCAGCATGATTAGCCGCGGATGTCACCACGTGGGGGGCTGGCCCCCACCACCTAATCCCAAGCTGTCCAAATATGATTAAATACTTAAACACTGCCGTACAATCATCTAATTATTCTAGATAATTTAATTTATTTAATTAATTAATAAAAAAAAAAAAAAAAAAAAAAAAAAAATAGTGTACAAATTCTATGCTCCCACAATACGAGAGAGTTAGTAAAAATTAGATGCGGAATTCCAAGTGTCGGCGGCCGGAATGTTGAACTTTTTCCAACTAACGCCGCGTTTGGCTTTGTCATTAATTTGGAAACATGTTTAATTTTAAGGTAAAAGTATTATATCATTTAATATGTAATATAATGTTTATATCTACGCATGTGATGATTTAATTTAAATTAATATTTAATTACTTAAACTTAAGTATACTAAAACCATGTAGAGTTTTTCAATGTTTAATAATTATTGTGGATGGGAAGTTGAAATTCGAGTTTTGGGTTTTATTAATTTCTTCGTATATATTAGACTAATTAATTTGATCTAATCTATGATTTGACCCATTCGAATAGGAAATTAAAAAAAAAAGACTATAAATAAGTGTATTAAAAATTAATTATTAGGTTCGAATCCAAGAAATTAATAAACAAAATAAACCCAATTTTTATGACTTTAACATATATCATAACAACTACTTGTTTTCTCACGTGTCGGTATATTTGATAAACAAACTATAGTTAGTTAAAATGTTTTACTTATTCAAAAGTGAAAAGTTATATTAAAAAATAAAAGTCTACATGTAGAACCTAAAAATGAGATAAAATAGTAAGCCAAATAGCTGGCAATGGCATCTAACAATATAATAAAATAAATATTTTTTTACATATAAATTCAAAAATCTTTTGACTTTTTGTAACGCTAAATTCTCTCCATTGGTAATGGGTCTTGCTTTTTTGCATTTTCATAGAATGATGAATCATCATCCCTTTATTCCAAATTCGATCTGTTTACTAAGTCAGTCACTCATACCGTCATACTAAAAAAATCTAACTAGTGTACCTATTTTTATACTTTTAGAACATTAATATATGTAACTTGTGAAGGCTGTATGTGAATTACTGGTCAAATAGTTTGATAAGTACTCTTAGATGTATTATTCAAGAAGTCTTTAATTCGAGTCTGTCGTCGATTATTAACAAGTATAGTTGTTAGAGTTTTTACTCGATCAATAATTCTAAAGTTTCAAAAAATTAGTTGAGGTACGCATAAACTGATCTAAACATCCCTGTTCATTTGAAAAAAAAAAAAAAAAAAAATTGCATGTGACATCATAGACATACCAAACTAAAGCTGCGCCACCGCCAAAACCTATGTCCCTGATTGACCAAATTCATTGTTGCTTAACTTAAAGTCAGTCACTTATCCTTTCATAAAGTTCAATTTTAAAATTCACACATTCACTTTATTTATTATCTTTTAAACGTTATATATACATATAATCTTAATTTTCTAAAATACGAAAGTTTTATTTAAACATTTTAAAATCACTAAAAATAGGTTAGTAAACGAATTTCACAAATTTTTTTTTATAAACTCGACATGATCGCTGATAATTGGGTTTTTTTTGTAACCATGGTGTTCGGACCTGCTTGTGCACTCAACTAATCTCCATGATCCATTAAACACTCTACAAGCCTAAAAGACTAGATAGATGACTCAAAGGTTTGAACCCATGAACTCAAAGAATGGAGCGATAATTGGTTTTTGATGAATTAATCAGACAAAAAATTTATCAAAAACCAATTATCAACTACCACGTTGGATTTATGAGACAAAATTTATAAGATTCGTTTGTTAGTATAGTATTACCAATTTAAAATATACTTATTTCAATTTTATATCCATAAATAAATCCACTAAGAGAATGTAATTAAGAGGAGTCTTTTATGGTAGTCACACACGTTTGGTTTGGATGTAGAAAGTTGATGGATAAAAAGTAAAAGAAAAAAGCGGGGGGCTTTTTGGTAAAAAAGACTGTGAAAATTAAGACGGGTCCCTCTTTTGTTCTTGCTCTAAAACCAGGCCAACGTGGAAACCTTCTTTTCACCAATAGTTTATTAGTTTCCAAATTTTCACACATTCAATTTCAAACAAACAGGTAGATATGAATATGATATAGCTAAACAAATTTATAAATAATTTTTGATTTAATCTAAGTCTTTGTCAGGCTATGGCTTCTTTTGGAAGTGCCTTGTGCCCTACGTATCTGTTGTATCTTCTTTCACATCTCGCTGTTTTAAGCTCTTTTTCTTCTTCAAGCTCCTCTATTTAAGCCTTCCTTTTCCCCTTTGTTCTACTTTCTTAACCGCTCTCTCTCTCTTTCTTTTATTTCTTCTCTTTTTGCTTTTCTATAGTTTTTATATTATTGTTGTTGCCTTCTTCTCTAGATATATAACAGAACCCGTCTGTTTAATTTCTGTGTATTGTTCATATGGAAGAAGCTACTGTTGTGAACAAAGGAGACGACTTGATCGATTTGCCACCCGGCTTTCGATTCCACCCCACCGATGAAGAGATCATTTCTCATTATCTGACCGAGAAAGTCATGAATAGCGGCTTTGCTGCTTGTGCGATTGGTGAAGTTGATTTGAACAAGTGTGAACCATGGGATTTGCCCAGTAAGATTATAGCCTTATAGTTTTGAGCTTTTTTGATTCTGTATGATTTGATTTTTATTCCTGTTTCTAATTTCAAGTTTTCTACTTGTTTTTTGTGCAGAGAGAGCAAAGATGGGTGAGAAAGAATGGTACTTTTTCTGCCAAAGAGACAGAAAATATCCAACGGGGATGAGAACAAATCGAGCTACTGAATCTGGATATTGGAAGGCCACTGGCAAAGATAAAGAGATTTATAAGGGAAAAAATTGCCTTGTTGGGATGAAGAAGACTCTTGTTTTCTACAAAGGGAGAGCTCCAAAAGGAGAAAAGACTAACTGGGTTATGCATGAATATAGATTAGAAGGCAAATTCTCTTATTACAATCTTCCCAAAACTGCAAAGGTAGATAATTTTTTTGTTTCACAAAAGTCCCTTTTCAATTTCATGCAGTTTCTCTTGTTTCCATTCTTTTTCTTGGTCCTCAATTAAAAGTTCTACATGTACATGATGATGATGTCTTTTTCAATTTTTTCCCTTTTACTAACTTTATGTGTTGGTTGGGAGTTATCTTTCATGGGGCCTCCTAGCAGTTCCTTCTTTGCTTCTGCAAATTCTGCTTTTGTGAACTGAATTTTGAAGAACATGGAGTAATTATTAACACTACTGTGTTTTGTTTTCTTGAATGTTTCAGGATGAATGGGTGGTGTGTAGGGTTTTTCACAAGAACACAGGGATCAAGAAGAGTCCAATTCCAGGCCTGTTGAGGATCAACTCTTTTGGTGATGATCTATTGGATTATTCTTCACTTCCACCTCTCATGGATCCTGCTTACCACTCCAGCAAACCCGGCTCAAGCTTCACGGATAATGAAAACGAATTCAAAGCCATCAATACAGCTTCAACATCAAGATCTTTAGATGGAAATTACCTCTCAAACCTCCACACAAACAACAACAACAACCACCAAGGCTTTCTTCATCCTCCAAATAGTACTAACTACCCAACACAAACCTCCAATTTTTACCCTCAAATCCCAATCTCATCAAATCCTAGTCTTCTCTCCTACCAATCTACTCCAAATCCTGCAGGCTGCTTACACCAAGGACTAAGGAATAGTTCTGGTGCAATCACAAGCATAACCGGCTCCGGGTTTGGTGCCAATGATCAGGCGATTTTACGGGCATTAGCAGCCGGGAATGAAAGTTCTAAAATGGAGAATAATCCGTGCAAGGTCGAGCAGTTTTCATCGAATCAATCCATGGTCAGCCGCTCGCAAGACACTGGACTTAGCACAGACATGAACACAACTGAGATATCCTCGGTTGTTTCGAAGCAAGACATGGCAGGCAACACATCGTATGAAGATCTTGAAGGTCCTTCAGTTGGCTGCTCCATAGCTGATCTAGATAGCTTCTATTGGGAGGACTACTGAACTGATCATCAAAGCTTTTAAATACACTGATTATAATTTTAAGTTAAATTAATCTCATCAGGCTTGTTTGTTTCATAATTAATTTCTTAGGATCGGTATATGATTTTTAAACAGCGATGATATATATGTAGGTGTAAAATGTATCAGTTTGGAATGTTCTGAAATACTTGTATAGAGATTAAAATTTCATGGTGTCAAGAAAAATACTAATTTGCAGCGAAAGATTCCATGAAAATATATACCTCTTGTACATCTATTCTTTCTATATGTTACTGCATTTATTCTTCTTGTTTCTTCTCTTTCTTTCATGTAATTACACCCAACATCTTCCCAATTCTATAGAATATGTATATTGAACAAGTAAAGACAAGGATTAAAGGATCCAGAAAGCTTGAAGGAGAATGAATTTGATTAATTTAAGTTAATAATAATTAAACTGGTTAAACGGAGATTAAGAGGATGAATGATGAATCACGTGCATCATTCCCTGAATCAATGGAGCAGATGCCTCTCTCAGTAGATTAAAATAATCAAACTGACAATAACATAACAGTCATAGCCATAGCTATAGATTTCTTGAAACACAGTTTAAACTTCTGTCCTAAGAAAAACAATCTTAAAAAAATAACATGTGCCCTCCACCTCCACCTCCACCTCCACGCATATGTTCTTACTGGCTTCATCGATCGTTTTCTGTAAATAAACGCGTTTTTCGGTTATTTATTTATTTATTAAATATTTTTTTTTTCTCTCTATAGAAACTATTTCTGATTGTAAATATGAATCTTGGAACTGTACCCATGTTCTTATCCGATCCCATAATCATTATTTTGATGAGATTGGTAATAAAAAGCTGGTAGGTCCATTCTATTCAATTTGATGCTCTTTTAATGGAGTCATCGACAGCTTTATATAACAGAAAATTAATCAGCAAGTTTTTTTTTTTTTATTATACGTGTTGAAGACATAAATGAATAAATGGAATCGGTTATTGGAAGAGAAGAAAGGTTCGTGTGGAATATGTGGTGTATACTCGATCAAATTTAATTTTACTTTCTATTCAAAGCAAAGTTTTCTCAGCTCTTCATACTTGCAGGAAAGTTAACCGCCCTTTATGGTTTATCTAGATGCATATTTTATTGCAGAAAGGAATAATCAAGAACAGAAACAAAAACAAAACGAAGAATATCCCCTTTATTTATTTATTTATTTATTTTATTTCAATCAAGAAAACCCTGATTTGTTGCATGAAAACATGGCAATAGAAGCCAATCACAACCCTCCACCGCGTTATTTCCACAATGTTGTCCCGTACGAAAACCAGTTTTGCTGCTGCTGTTTTCCACCACCACCGCCCTCCGCGTAAATCCACAGTTACTTTCCATTCCACCGCCGCGCACACCGATTTCATTCCATAATATAAGTAACATGTTCAGTTGAAATCAAATAACCCACATTGAAAACAATAAAAATCCCTTGAAATTAAATCAGAAAAATTTTAAATTTACTTAAGCACGAAGATTTCATAGAACAGTGATATATAATATTTTTTCTGATTTCTTACTGGAAAAGGAAAAAAGTTCCTTGTCTTTTTATCAAACTATACTGACATATTCATGGATAAATATACTAGTTGACTGAGAAATTGATTAAATTGCAGAGAAATTGCTCAGGCTTCTCAGATAAATATATAATGTAAACATGGATTATCGCATAGATTAATTATAAAACCAAATTAATTATACCCCCAATTAACAAAAAAAATTAAAAAATGAGTTGGACAAGCAGACAAAGCTCTAGGTCATCGATCATCATCTTCATTATATTTTGATCCCAGGTTCGTTATATGAAGTACAATTTACTGACATAAATTGATAATTAATTTAATAAACTTTTAATTATGATATGACAATTCTCCAATAACAATAATCAACTACAAATTAATTGTTATTACTATTTTCTTTTTTTTTTACTGTACAGATATAATTTTGTGATGTTAACACCCTATCTTCCTTATTGATTATTAGACTTACTATTTAATTAAAAATTAAAAAAACTCAATTTTCATATTGTTATAAACTTATAACACTTTTTCTAGAAGTAATTGGGAGTAAATCTAGAATAGTAACAACCATTAAATTAATTTAAATATATATATAGTAAGAACTTTAGTTAATTTAGTAGGAAATGTGAAGAAATTTCAGAGAAAATTGACCTCTCGAAACCAATCTTTTAACCTAATCTCTTACCAGCTACTTGACAAATCAATGGATATACAAGATGAAGTAAGTATTTATGTATATAAGATTAGAATTTAGATGGAGATAGGTCATGTTCAGATAACACCAACAAAAAACTATATAATAAAAACATTATATATATATATATATCATAAGCTTCCAGAGTACTCATATTATTCTTTTGTTCTAGATCTTCCTCGATTAATTTGTCTCAACTATGTATGACATGGTTTTCCAAAAGAAATTAAAGGGAAACTTCTTAGAAGTTTACAAGATCGATCAAGCTGTTTCTGATTTTAACCTTTTGTCAAACACAGTGACCACATGAATTGAATCACTTCATTTTTGAGGAAGGTGATGGCTTGGATTCCTCATGACTTTTCGACTAGCAGTTAAAAGTACAATTTTTCATGTGCTTTTCTTTTTTTCAAAAGTGTTGATCGTAGAATATAATCCAACTAAGAGTTAATGCAATGCTCCATTTTTTATTTCATTGTTATATGAATTGAACCTCATGATAAATGGGTTTAATGCTTTTAACTTTTCAACACCGAATCACATGTGTTATTCAACTCTTGAAATTGTGTGATATCTTCTACACAAATTCCTCATAAATTGTGATTTTTTTTTTTTTTTTTTGGTAATCGGGGTGTCCGGACTAATTTACGCGCACCTCAACTAATCTCTGAAATCTATTGAACACTCCACAAGCCCAAAGAATCAGGCAAACCACAATGTTATTGTGATAAGTAGGTGACCCCAAGTTTTAAATCTCAGAACTCAAATAAAAAAATAAACCTCCTTAACCGTCAGGTCAACCCCTTGAGGTTAAAAGTATATATTCTAAAGAGAAATTGTGGTTTCTTGAATAAATTTTTCTTCCAAATTCAATGTCGTTGCTGCATCATAGGCCTTGCCTTCTACACCTATGATGTAGATTCCTCTCTCATATATCTAATGGCTTTCCCTACACTAATTAGCGTAACAATTGGTCTCATACAAAAGAAATGAAAATTATTTAATTTTCCATAAATGGAAATTCTATAGAAATATCTATTGCCACAACAAAGTCTTTACATATAGTGATTTTTGTTGAAAAGAAAAATTAATGTTCTAGATGGTAGAGATTTTTCTTTTGAGTATTATACTATTGACTGCGTCGCTCCCCTCCTACTAAATCAACTGCCCTTACCGAATTAATTCACTCAATTAATAATAAAATAAGATGAATGAGATTATAAATATGAGCTGAAATTTAGCCCTACTCTCCACCTCGACTAATCTCCCATGGCATTGAAGTTAACGATCGGATAAACCCTTTAGTAATCGAGAGGAATTAAATTCAAGATCAATTTGAGTAATATACGCAAGAAGTCTTTATCATCTCACACAATCATCCAAAGATGATTATTTTTCTACCATTCTTTATATACAGAATAACATATATGATTATATTCTCTCGTTTTTCTATTTTACGTTATTCTAATCGAGGCTACTTTTATTAAATTTATATATACATAATAATAGAGAAAAATAAAATAAATTAGTACAAGAATATACTGTTGTTTAGCATGCCCCCCAGCCAAAAAAGAAACATTTCTAGCCATGTAAATCGAATAAAGGATAGGCCATTTAATTGTAATATATAAATGAATAATATTAGATAATTAATAAAATAAAATTAGAAAGAAAATATCCTAAAAAATTATTGAGAAAAAAAAAAAAGGAAATCCCGTGTTTATAATATGAAAGGCGTGATATCTGATATGTACTTGGTATTAGAATAAAAATCCATCAAAACCGTACTAAAACAGTAGCGTGGTCTAGGATGTACCGGATCAAACTCTCTGACGGAGCGGTTATGTTTGTTAGCACGAACTACGAAGCTTCATAAAATTAAATTCCTTGTCGCTCACATGAAGATACAAAAGCAAACGACTGGTCGTAATCAAATCACGTACTGTGTCGTCATCTTATTCCACATCCGTTTGATGACCGACACGTCGTCTCTAACACAATGCCGGGATGGTGACTTGTGAAAGAACTTGACATGGCCGTTTCATTTCAATTTCCCCTTTTTTATGATATTTTGTGAAAATTAGGCACCCCTTATAATAGGAATTTCTTTTTATTTAAAAAAAAAAAAAATTCTTAAAAATTCAGTCACTTTTTCTTTAAATACAACATTTATCATATATAAAGTTTTCTAAATATACCTTTTTATCATTAAAAAATAGATTCTATATATAAAGAAACAAGTATTAAAGTCTAGAGAAATTGTTAAGTTTCAAAAGCCACAACCATTTCAAAACTTTGTATAAAATGCTTTTTGAAATTACCGATGACTATTTATGATTATTTTAGAAAAAATAAACTTTATAAATGTATGAAACCCCTTCAATGGGGTTTTTAGTTGTTTTCAAAAATAGTTAAAACTAGAGACTTAACAATCTCTTGAGGATGGATGTAATTAATCCGTCAAAATGACATATTTTGGCTTCTTTTGGTTCACAATTTGGTGTTTTTGAGAAAAGTTTTTTGAAAAAAGTTAAAAAAAAGTTGAATTGGGCGGGTATTACGATGTAGGATTTACAAATTCATAAAAGACCCCGTATATTTGTTGATTTACAAAACACCCCCTATAATAAAATATTAAAAGTTAACAAAAACACCCCCAACCCACCCTCAAATACAGATAGCCAGCCACCACCGCCGGAGGGTGGTCGGATTCACCGTATCAGCGCATGACCGACTGGATCTTGCCGGTCGTGCACCAATATGGCCTTTTTCGGTCAGATCCACGGTGGATCTGGGTCTGGCCTTTGCTGGCCAGATCTGGCCGTATTTGCTCGTCAACGACGGCCAACAAACGGTCGTTGTTGACACCGACTGTTACGGCCAAAGATCTGGCCGAAAAATGCTAGATCGGCGCACTACCGGCTAGATTCAGCCGGTAGTGCACCATCCTACCAGATTCAGGCCATTTTCCGACGGTGGTGGCCGGAATCTGGTAAATGTGGATTACTAGGGTGTTTTTGCAATTTTTTAAAAAATATTTAGGGGTATTTAATTAAATTAACAAATTTAGAGGGTTTAAAAAAAGTTGAATAATATTGAAAGTAGTATTCTCAAAACCAGAGTTTTTGGGTATTTTACTGTTTAACTTTTTTGGGAATACTAAAAGTAGTATTCCCAAAACCCAACCAAACGAAGCCTTTATAATTTTTTTTTTTTCAAATTTATTCTGTAATATTCATATTGTATAATTATTTTATAGTTATACGATATTAACGAAGAATCAAGATATTTAATTTCATTTTTATTACATTATTATCTATTCTTTTATTAAAAAACATTAATTCCTTCTATTGTTGTTTCAAAAACCATAGTTCAAAAACAATACATTGTTAAATCAAAATAAGATAGACAAACCCATAAATAAAATCACGAAAAAATTAAAAAAAATACAAATAAAGTATATCAAATAATACCCTAATATGAAAAAGGAAAAAAAAATTATGAGGGAAAATAATATCTAAAAAAATAGTTAACTCCTTTTAAAAAGACATTTCTTTTGACTTTTGAGTTGATCTAGTGAGAATATTTCATTTTACATTATGAAAGGATAATATATAGCTTTAAAAAAGTTAAAATTAATTATAATTTTGAAGGATAATTTTGTAATTACAGAAAAATATTTTTCTAAATGGCAACTGAGACTACTCCTCCCCTAGCCGCTTAATTGTTTTCCATAAGGTATGATATAATAACAATTAACAAGAATCTCTTGAGGGTTAAGAAATAATAGAAATCTTCAATATCAGGGGTAACTAGGCTTCAAGTAGAGCGAACTTTACCTGCAATGTCAAGGGTTCAAACTGTACTGAAAGCACCTTGTAGCCGTGGGTATTTACTCGAGCCCTGATCGGGATTAGTCTCATACCTTCGAGTATGGGGAGAATCGAGGCTTTCACCAAAAAAAAAAGAAATAACTGAAATCTTCCTACCGTTAAATTTTTGGTATTAAAGTAAATAGTGGCAAATTGATCATATTTACTGACTTATAACAGTGTAAATTTCAATGACCCACTGATAATTCATTGACGATAGGCGGTTTCTGTTGTTTCGGAAACCTTACGAGAATATTTGTTATTATATTATACTTTAGGGGGGTTAATGTCGTTAACTCTAATAATAATGTATTAGAAAAATACGTTTATTTATCTCTTACAAATATAATACCTTATTATAATTAAAATTTATACAAACCAATTTTATATTTGGGTAATTTATATTACCTTATATTTAGATAACATGATATAAAGGAATCTAATTTTAAAATCTCTCAAATTTCTCCCGACAATAAAGGTTATCAAATAATCAAATAAAAAGCTGGTCCAATCATGTTTCCCCTCATTTTTATCTTTCTTTCTTTCTCTTTCTTTCTTTATCCCCCCCATAGATGTGGAGTATTTTCAAAAAACTCTTTCTACATTTCGATGCCCATTTGCATAATTATTAAATTAAATTAGCATTTTAAATAAAAAATGAAAAAAAAAAAATAATCCAACCATTGAAGATGGTGGCTATGGTGGCGTTTTCAATGATACAACCAACATCGTTGAAATGTCCTGAGATATCTATTAGTAGAGTTATCCAATACTAACCACCACTTGGTGGCTTGACGGTAAAAGAGCAAATAAAGATCTAAATTTATATGGTTTTCTGAGCTTGAGTCTCTACATCCCCTAATAGGGGTGGCGATTAGAGCTCGTATTCAACCGACAATTCCAAGGTTCTGAAGAATTAGTTGAGGTGCATGCAAGCTAGTCTAGAGTCCAGCACCCCCAATCATCCCAAAAAAAAAAAAAAAAAAAAAGAGTTACCCAAGACATCAATCCACCTTTGTTGACGAGTTTTTAGTTTTCTTTTTATTATAATTTAATGAATTTTTTATTTAAAAAATTCATCATTAATATGTTTTATAATATTTGAATAAAAACTTTAATATTATAATTGTGTTGTGTTTTTATATAAAGAAATAAATTAGGGATCATCACATCAGAAGCATTATTGAATTAAAGTTAGGTTAGGACATGAATATAAAGCAAGACATTATCCTAGCAAACAAATAAAAAATGTGGGCACCTTTATCTTTTAGTAAACTAATCACATAATGAAAAGTAGACAAATTATTTTGATGCATAAAATGACACCAAATAAAAATAAAAATAAAAATGAAATTGGGTGTATGATTGATTGGTAATAAATTAATTTGTCAATATCTATTGATGTAAAGCTAAACTAAACTAAACTAAATGAATATTTCTTGATTGGTAGGGCCTCTTTTTATTAGTTTTTTCTAAGGCGTGTGGGGTTTTACGCGGATCATTCTTATGCTTTTCATATATTATCCGCGTTTTATTATTATTATTATTATTATTATTTCAATAGAAATTCAAATTTAGAAACTTAATAGTTGAGATTTTTTAACTTTGAATCTCAATTGACGTGTTTGCATATATATACACACACGTACAATATTAGTTAGAATCTAAACTTTATATACATAAAGTTATGCTTTATAAATTTGATTGCTTCTTAAACAAATTATTATGAATAATATATAAGATGTCTCTATTTTTTTTTTAGAAAACCTTTAGAATTACCGTTACTTATATTAGAACTAGTATTTTTTTTTTAACGGAAAATAAAAAAATGACTCAAATGACCTTTTTTTTTTAAAGTTAATTTAGTTCTTAAAAATCTAAATTTTAAAAATGCTAAAATACTAAAAAAAAAAAATTAGAACCAGTTTTTTTTTTAATAGAAATAATTTTTTTTTTAAATTTAAAAACTAAAGGAAAATAATAATAGCTTCTTTTAGTTTAGTTTATAAATTTTATTGTTTTTTATTTTTTTATTTTATAATTTTTAGTTTTTAATATTTAATTTTATAAAAAAATATTTTAAAATCTTTTTTTAGTTGCTTTTAATCTTTAATTTTGGTCACATTTATTTTTTATTATTTATTTTGTAAACCTAACTAAATGTAATTGTCTCTTAATTTAAGAATTTGTAACTTCCGTTTGAAAAGTTGTATTTTAATTAATAATATCTCTTTAAAATAAGTATGTAGAGGTAGAGGTTAGTGTTTTTGCCTTTATTTATTTATTTATTTTTGGATAATTGAAGTATTTAGGCCAGTTTACACGTATTTTAAATAATCTTAGGATCCATTGAATACCCTACAAGCCTAATAAACTAGATAAGTCACAAATATAATAGGTGATTACTTTGTGAGACTCGAACACAATACTTCTAAATAACCTACTCAGATAGTTAAAGTCTTTTGTCTAATCACAAGACTAGCAGCTAAAGTCGTAGTATGTTAATTTCTGCGAATTGGTTTTGTTGAAAAAGTTTCTATGGAAACAATAAAAAAAAGGTTTTTAATTGATAAGAGTTTCTAGATGTGTTTTGATATTAATGTAAACGTTTTTTTACAAAATATTGTGGGCTTTGTTACACATTAAATTATAAACTATATAATCACATAATTCACATGTGTCTTTAAAATAGATTCACATTATCTGAATTGCAAATCTTAAAATATAAACTTGAAAGTTGAAATACTATATAGTATTTTATTTTTCTTTTTAAAATATTTACTATTATATAAACAAACTTTATTCATTAGATTTTCATAGTTGATTTAGTATACACTTACCGTATGATTTATAGAATTGAACTTCCTTTTTTTAATTTTTTTAGTATTAGTGACTCTTATTAATTTTATTTTTTCAAAAGAGAGGAAAACTTTCTCGTACTTTTTGTAATTTTCTTGACAGCCAAACACTCTAGAAATCGCTTTAAAACAAAGAAAAACCAATACAAAATATAAAACAAGAAAACCCTATTTTATTTTTTAAATAAAAACTTGGAGAAGTAGGTAGTTTTTGTATTTATAAAATTATTGACGAAAAAGGGATGAGTATAATATCATATTCCATCATGGGCAATCATTTTGTAGAGAAACTCCTATTTTTTAAACAGTGTAGAGGTCTTGTCACTAGCAGTTTTCATGAAATTATAAAATTTGAATGCTAATAGAAATGATTGATGACCTAATTTTGATTATTAATTACCTTTAATTTCAACAAACCCATCAATAGTATTAATTTGGTTTCCATAGTACACCCAATTTCAATTATGAAACTCAAGAATTATTTTATTTTGAAATAATCTCTTTTATTTTTAGGATTTTCTATATTATTTATCAATAATATTGGTGTGGGGGAAATCCGGAGTAGGTAAATCCTTCGATATGGATTCCATGATCAAGGTTGAAGATCACACTACACCCTGTTTTATCAAATTTGAGTTCATTTCCAATTAAAATCATGTAATTGGCAATATATAAACCCAAGTGTAATATGTTTCTAGGGATAAAAAATAATAAGTTGCTGGAATTCTGGAAACCAATTAAAAGCTCCTTGTAAATTAAATTACTATTTCAATGCATTCAATAACATAATAGTGGACGTAAGTATTACATTATAAGTGGCCGAAACACTTAAAAAAGTATCTTGATTCTTTGTATTTTACATTAATCCTTGAACATTCACAGTTCTATTATTTGATCTATCGAGATTATACACACATCTTATATGATTGTATCAACAACTATAATTGGTTTGCTCATCTGTTTTATTTTTTAAATTCAAATAAAACAACAGCAAAAAAAAAAAGATTTTCTTTAATGATTTGGATTGGGCTTTCAATTAGGCCTATGGATACCTTTACTGGGCTCGATATCCGAATCCAACACTCGTATAAAGTTTTTGTGGCCCAACCCATCACCAATCCGGGTTGACCGGTCTTCTTCTTTCATGTTGCCTTGCCTTTATTTTACTTCTGGTTTTGTCCTCTTTGCATAATTAAAGGGTATTTTGCATTTGGTGGTGTCCATGTCTACTCTTCCTTCTGGGTTTTAAAACGCACAAGAAATGAATCCGGGAGCTTTTGGAACGGAAGAATTGGTGACCCTTTTGGTTAAGCACCTTCCTGAAGCAATTACTCACGACACTCTCACTCGACTCTTCTCTCACTATGGTGCTTCCTCTGTTCGTCCTTGCTCAACTGGAAGGTAATCATTCTCATTATGCTCTCATTCCTGTTTTCACGTAGCTGATAAGACTATGATTTCATCGAATTAGTTTAATGGTATTTTTGATAGAAATTGAATTCTCATTGCCGCATTATGTAATTTGCCATTATGTTGGCAATATTTGTGATGTTTGCTGCTTCATGGCTTAAGTTATAGGGTTCAATTCTTTGGAGTCATTTTGGTCAGTATAGCTTTCTGCTTCCGAAGAATTATAGAATTCAATTGAAGGAATAGTTGGAACTGTTGTATTGAAACTTATTCATAGCATCATATGGTATAAACGAATTTTATAGCGTTTGGCTCTATACCACCAAAGGATTGGGGTTTAGTTTGTAATTCAGTTCACCTAAGTGGGTTTACTGTACCTACATTGGGTAGCTTTGTCTGGACTGGTAGCTTTTCCTCCTTTGAGAGGGGTAGAGTGGTACTTTCATTCTGAATGGTGGCAGTTTGGGTTGTGGATTGAATGGGACAGTGAGGTTTTCAGATTATCTGTCTAGTTATTAGATTGTTTATGTAGTTTTGTTTGAAGGCACTATAGTGTCATTTTTGAGATTCAGTTACTTGCATTGCAAATATTTGTTATTTTTTTTGGGTAATTACAAATATTTGTTATTTCACTGTTGTAAAAGCAATTTATGCAAATTGATTTTCAATTGTTGATTTGGTGGTCATGTTTGTTTATATAGCTTGAATCTCTAATAATGAAGGTTTGCTATTAAGAGCAGTATCATTGTACTTCTTACGTGTTCTTCTTCTATTGGTGTCTTTAACCTCATATGCACAAGCTTTATGGTAGTATTGTTTCATGGATGCCATCAATCTCTTCTCATATTACCTTTTGTTCCTGTGGATGCTAAAGTAATGAATGTGACAGATAACTTGGGTTTTTGTGGTTTATTTTACAGACAAATGATGCACATTATGTGTTGTTATCTTATTTTGCAGATTGAGAAACTGTGCATTTGTGGACTTCAAAAGTCAAACATTGGCTTCTCAAGCCCATCGCCAGTTAAACGGGTAAGTTGCTGTCTTATGCTCTTCTGGAGTTTTTGTTCTGAGCTGTGGAGTCCAGAAACTGTTACACGAGAATAATTTTTTTAAGATATTTTTCTCTTTAAGGGGCTTTCATTTCTTTTTTCACTTCTTTCTAAATTCTTTTTTTTTTTTTTTTTAATAATTTAGTGTAATTTATTTTTTAGAGATTATCTCCATTGTAATTGCTGTTAGGAAATTTGGGGAAGGTTTACATCCAGGCATCTTGTATAGTTGAGCTTTGCCTTTCTTTGTTTTCTTTTCTTTTCCATTAATTTTTTTACTGAAGCTCCATTTTTTGATATCTTAGAGCTCTCTCTCAACCTTTGCATCAGTAATACTACACTCACAAACCCTTCTCACTAAGTTTCTCTCTCAAACGCGACGTTTCAGCTCGTAATTGGTCAGATCGCAATGGGTCCTGCCTAACCAAATACGAATTGACCAATTGCGAGCTATCACGTCAGCATTTGTGAGAGAAAGTTGTGAGAAGTGTTTGTTAACATATTTTTATTCACCTCTGCATATTCCCTTTTTCATTGTTGTTGATCCCATGAAGAAAATAGGCCTTGAACTATTGTCTTATTTTGGTTGGTCAGGCTGAGGTTTCTTGGTAAAGTCTTAACAGTTGAAAGAGCTAGTAAGCTGAATGAGGATAAGAAGCCCAAAGATACTGAAGTTAAACCCACATCTTTGATGAAGGATGCTAGTGACCATAATGATGGTCTAAAATCAGGAGGTCTACCTGCTAGTGAACCAATTGCTCCAAGACTTGGCGTAGACTATCCATTTCCTCCTTTCCTTGAGTATGTTTTTCCTTTTCAGTCTCACTAAAACTTTTGTTTTTTCTGTGCAGCTTGTCAATGTATACATTATAAAGTTGAATGTCAAAGAGCCACATTTGTATGCATACTTTGAATTTCCCTTTAATTTAGTTCATTTAGGTCATGAACCTTTGTGATTTTGGGACACCAAAATAACAAATCTATTTGAAAGAGGGAAACTTGTTAATAAACAATATTTTGTTCTGTTTACATCTACTGTGTTTACATAAACTTCTTGTGCTACAGATATGCTTGTCCTCTTCCACCTGATGGAAGTATTGTGACCAATGTTGTCAATAATTGTTCTTTATTTTGTTTTATGTTTCTGTTCCCTGCTTTTGTATCCTGCTGAATTTCAAACATTACGAACTTACTTTGTGGTGATAGATGCTAGGGTTTTTGGCTGTTTCAACCAATATAGAAAATATATCAATATGTAAAGGCTTTATAAAATATGACTTAATAAATGGGTGAGAAAAGTCTTGGCCCTGAAGATTCTTCTTTCTTAAATGTGATACCAGATATCTAACACACTTTGCCTGCATAAATGTGTCATCTGGTTACGTGTTATCAGTGAAATTTTTTATTTCTATATTTGGTGGATTCTGTTGTCACTTAGGTCAATCTTGGCGCATAGGTAGCTTTGATTTATGTAAATCTAGTTATTTAACCTGCTTGTGTTGCAGGTATGCGTATCCTCCCCCAGATGGAAATATCCTGACCAATATTGTAAATGCCCTTATTGCTGTTCCTCGCTTTTATACTCAGGTTACCCCTAGTTTCTCTTTCTTAATTTCCTGTGGTTATAATTTGATGGGGAATTCATACTCATTCACTTGGCTTTTCTGTTCTAGGTGTTGCACTTGATGAACAAAATGAACATTCCAGCTCCATTTCGTATGGCTCTGCCCACACCTCCTCTGCCACCTTCAGTACCTGCACCACCAGCACCACAACCACCGCCTCCACCTGTAGCAGATCTGTCAAGCAGTGAGTCAGAACTGGAGTCCTCAGATGAGGTAACTGCTAGCTTCTAAGATGTTATTCATGCTCCACATATCACACATCGTAGAAAATGTCATTCCTCCTGATTTTTGGACCTTCTGAATGACGAAACAGATCAATTTTTTGTTTGCTGTTATTTAAAAATTACAATTTGTGTGTTTGCAAGTTATTGCGCATGCTGCTTCTCATATCTTTTCCTTGAGATCTGGGTTTAATTCTTTTTTACTCCTACACCAAGATTCTCTCTTTTTTTCCACTAGTTCCTAAATTTAGTAGATACTTAGTGTTTTATGAATATGATTTCACAGGAAAAAGGTAATTTGTTGGGAGATGTTAAAACAGCAAAATCCGGGCGAAAGCGTGCCAGGCGAGAACCTATTGTTGGCCCTGCAATTGATAAGGATGTGGCTCATGAGGCTGTTGGATTGAAACCTTCCTCCTTAATCCCAAAAGAAATCCCAATGATAAAAAAGAAGAACCCTGTATTACAGGTTTTTTCTTATCTCATAGAATTTATTGTGTGATGATTTTTCTCTTTTAGATTACTATATAATTTTTTTCTTTACTTTTTCACAGATTAAAATTGCCCCCAAAGTAATTCATAATGAACATAAAGACGATAGCGTGACTAAGGAATTGGAGGAGCACAATGAAGAGGATTCTGATGGTAAACCTTTTGCAACCCCAGAAGAACTAGAGAAGGGGAAGTTGCCTCCAGAGGAACTTTTGTCACTTCCAATGTTTAAGGTATCAGAATTTGATATTAGTGAATTGTAGTAGTGAAATGAACATGCAGTGATTACACACAAATTAACTGGTTGGTCAATTCTAATCTTTTTCGGGTTTCATTTAGTTCTGTTATTTGATGCTTAAAAGGCTATTAGCTTGAGTGATGCATATCTGTGATATTATAAGAAAAATAAATATAAAAGCAGTTTAAATGTTTTTTCTTCTGGGCTTGGCAGGACTCTTCCTTGACCATAGCACTATTTTACATCATTTGTTAATAGATCTGAAGAGCAGTTGTTGTAATTCAGATACATTTTACAAATCTTAGATTCAGTTAACATGCAAAATTTATGGTGATGGAATAATTAGTTTGAAACCTTTTGAACGTTGCAGAACTACACCTCTGGGAATCCTGCATCTGTGTTGTACATAAAGAACTTGGCAAAAGATGTTGTTCCTGATGATTTTTACTTCATATTTGGTGAGTGCACAAATCTTGATGCTTACTGTGTCTGAATAGTAGCCTTCTTTCAGCCTGATGTTACCTTTCTATCAAATATAATTCTTACATAGCCACAAATAATAATAAGAAAAACAATTAAGTACATCATGATCATATACCTAGAAATGGTCAGTGTTAAATCCTTTTGGTGCATGAAATCATATACTTCTGTTACTTATTATTTATTGTTATAGCAAAGGTATTTTGGCCTTATTAATATATTGCTTTCAATGTGCTGTAGGATCATTTTTTGGAACCATTGATGCAGCTAAATCTGGTCTTAGCATAAAGCTAATGCAGGTGAGTTGTATGGTCTATATACACATATATAAGTTTCATGTATAAATGTATTTCTAGAAATCGCGTTGGAAAATATTCACTCAGAAAATATATAAGCATCTAGGTTACCATAGTGGTTTGCTACCAGTATATTAAAGCCTTGTTACAGTATTGAGGGGGAACTGCAAACATACTCCAAACTCCAAAGGAGTAAGTTTATTTGTAGAGCAATATTATGAGTGGACTGTTATTAGGCATAGGTGTGTATTTGACTTGCTGGTTACATTACTTTGTTATATCGTATATATTTTTTTCCCTTTAAGATGATGCCTAGCTATAAAGTTATCATACTAGGCTTTATATTGGTTTGGAGACACGTTAGAAGAGCTTACTAAAGTGCCTTGCAGGTTTTATTTGAGGATTTTCCTAACACTGAAAAGCCATCTATTGCAGGAGGGAAGAATGAGGGGCCAAGCCTTTGTGACATTTCCATCAGTTGAACTTGCCCATCGTGCTTTGGTATGCTTTCACACAATGCAATTCATATCCTAATTTTCTAATTTCCAGAAATTTTAGCTTGTCCGCATAGCATACAAGGTATGAAGTCTTGCTCAAATAATCTAGCTGATCTATCACACTTGCATTATCTAACTTCTGTGCTGATTGCTGAACTATGACTTATTCATTGAATGCTCTTAGTGATTCATTGCAGAATCTAAACTTTTATGCTGATTGCCAAACAATGACTTCCTCGTTTAATGATCATAATTATTTGTTGCAGAATTTAGTGAATGGATATGTTTTCAAAGGCAAACCAATAATCATCCAGTTTGGGCGGAATCCTGCTGCTTCAAAAGCAAACTGAATATATCTGCTTGAATAGGAGGAAGCTCTTTGTACTGCGCTGTCATGGTTACTTCTTTATTGATTATTCATTTCTCATATTCCTAATCAAGCTGGACTGAAAATCCATCAAATTTTGGATTATATGTTTTTTTAGTGGCTGGTGCTCCTTCACTGACTCAATTGCAACATGAACAAATTTCACATAATCTTGGAGAATTGATGCATATTGTGATTTATGTCTATATAATTAACTGGGTTGCATTAGCCTCATACATACTCAAAACAGAAGCTGGAAAATTAACTCTCTTTCTGCTCAGTGTAGGTAATTGCATTATATAAAAATGGCAAATACTTCTACAGAGGCAGATGCATAGGAGAGGACACGGATACGTACGCCGCTGCTCTAAACAAGACATTCCTACTGCTGCAGAAGTGTTAAGGTTGCTGTTGCTCTGATCATGTACATCCATGATCTTCCATGGGTACGAGCATGTTCATTAATCAATGAATGGAAAGGTGCAGAGTTTATTACACTCCCCTGCTTAAGCTCGGTTTGATCTCTTGGTAAAAGCAAGCCATTTGTTGATGTTCTTATGATCAGTATTTCTACAACGGTTTCAACTTTCAAAACACTGCAGATTGCAGAAGACTCGGGACTCTCTACTGCATCGTAGCATTCACAAGGATATTGGGAAAAACCCTTGTACCATTTTTTCTCCATTGTGAGAAACTCCAATGTCTTGTAGTGTAAACAAAAAGAACTCAATGTCAGAATCGTATCATTGAAACCCAGTAAGTTAATTCAATTAAATTTACCTTCCTATTTCTGGGCTACATGCAAAAACTCTGCATACAAGCAAGCATCAACCCCGATTCAACCGAACTTCCGATCATTAGACCTGTAATTATTATCATAACTTTTAAATCTTTTTTGTTTTTTTGGATGATTGGGGGTGTTCAGTCTAACTTACGTGCACCTCAAATAATCTCTCGAAACCTTAGAACTATTAGTCGGATAAAAGTTTTAGTGACAATTTCTCTTAGCAATCAATGAGAGATTCGAATTCAAGACTTCGAGTGATAAACCTAAGAGTTTCTATCAAATCATTCAGTTATTCAAAGGTAGTGTAATTTTTAAATCTAGAATTCACTATAACAGAAGTAAATTTATTTGTTCAAATTTTCGTCAGACATTTCTTCTAAGATTCTCGTGTGAAATTGAACAATAATGTAATAAAATGAAGGGTGTACTCCCACCAAGAAACTATATTAAACACACTGATGTCAAAACTACTTTGTAAACCATGCTGAAGTTAAGAAGAGTTCCTCTTCTCTACTTCACAAACTCAATAAACCAAACAAAACCAAAACACTTTTCTTTTGTTTCATCACAAACCCATCTCAATCTCACACGACACCAAGAAGAAAAACAGAAATCCTTGAAACAACAAAAACAAAAACATTTTCTCACTCTCTTTCAGGACCTCCCAACAGACCTCATTACAATCCAGCAAGTTCACTCTCATTTACTCACCACTAACTCTCTACTACTCAACTCTACACTCCTCTTCAATACTCTTCTTCGTTGCTACTCACTCTCTGACTCTCCTCAACAAGATTTCTTGCTCTACAAGCAACTTCAACAAATTTACATACATTCTAACCATTCATGCCCACCTTTATTTGATAGCTTTACTTACTTTTCCCTTATCAAAACTTGCCTTATTTTAAGCTTTCCAAACATGGGTATGCAGCTTCATGCTGTTATAATTAAAGTGGGTTTTGAATCTCATGTTTATGTGAACACTGCTTTGGTTAACATGTATGTTTCATTAGGGTTTTTAGTGGCTGGTACTAAACTGTTCGATGAAATGCCTGAAAGAAATATAGTTACTTGGAATGTAATGATCACTGGTTTAATAAAATGGGGTGAGCTGGAGTTTGCGCGTTCGCTCTTTGAAGAGATGCCTAGCAGGAGTGTTGTGTCATGGACTGGGATTATAGATGGGTACACTAGGATGAATCGGCCTAGGGAGGCTTTTGCTTTGTTTCGAAGAATGGTTGAGTGGGAATATATTGAACCTAGTGAGATAACTATTTTGGCTATTTTACCGGCTGTTTGGCAAAATGGGGATGTTAAGAGTTGTCAATTGGTTCATGGGTATGGAGAGAAAAGAGGGTTTCTTGCGTTCGACATACGTGTTGCAAATTGTTTAATAGATACTTATGCCAAATGTGGATGCATAGCGAGTGCGTCAAGATTCTTTGAGGAGATAGCTGCTGAGAGGAAAAATTTGGTGTCGTGGACATCTATAATATCTGCATTTGCAATGCATGGGATGGGGAAAGAAGCGGTAACAAATTTTGAGAGGATGGAGAAAATTGGTTTGAAGCCAAATAGAGTGACGTACTTGAGTGTTTTGAGTGCTTGTAGTCATGGAGGATTAGTTGAGGAGGGGCTCAAGTTTTTTTATAAGATGGTTAAGGAGTGCCAAGTTTTGCCAGACATTAAGCACTATGGGTGCTTAGTAGACATGTTGGGAAGGGCGGGGAGGTTAGAGGAAGCGGAGAAGATTGCTTTGGAGATACCTAGTGAGATTGCTAATGTGATAATTTGGAGGACCCTTTTAGGTTCTTGTAGCTTCCATGGTAATGCTGAGATGGGTGAGAGGGTGACAAGGAAGATATTGGAGATGGAGAGAGGATATGGAGGGGATTATGTGCTTATGTATAATATCCTTGCTGGGGTTGGAAGATTTGGGGATGCAGAGAGGTTGAGAAGAGTGATGGATGAGAGGAATGCCTTCAAACTTCCTGGGCATAGCATGATATAACTGATGGTCTCTTGTTCCCGCTGTGTTCTTAGCGTGCGAGATCATTATGATGTGAATGGAGGATGCCTATTCTCTTGTGAATGAAGTTCTCACAGTCAGGCAGGCTTATACCATTATGCTCACGAGCAGAATCTTAGCTTGAGCCTACCTTCGCACACCTCCGTTACTCTTTAGGAGGCATCCGCCCCAGAACAGGCTGGGTCTACAGCTCTAGGTGCTTGTCACCAAAAAGAAATGGTCCGGGTGGTCTTGAGTTTAATCAAGAGCAGGCTTAGATCACTTTAAACAAGCTTCCATAGGTGGATCCTAAAGCTATCTTACCTCAGTATGCTGCCATGATACACAAAATTTTGTTCGTCTATGCTACAAACTTCTGGTTCTAATTGATGAAACGATTCATTTCTTCCAAGAAAGCAACAGGTTGTGATGTGCGGCGCTTCCTTGGTGTTCACTGCCTTTTCTCAGTGATGTAAAATCTGGAAAACAAGGCTATTTCCCTGAAGCATTGCCAATAAGAGGTTGACAGAACTCCGTTCAAGAAACATGGCATTTTCGGTCTTCAAGAATTGAAAAGTGACTGAAATTTATGCTGCACATCAGATACGTATAGGCTTCTTTCATTTCAGTATCTGCTTGCTGTATTCTTCATTGTAACTGAATATATTTATGCTCTTACACCTGAACTCAGGTCCATTGGAAACCATCATATATCTACAGTTATACAGAGGAAATCTTTATTTCAGTTACCAAAGATTTGCTATAAGTTATCCTTTCTTCACCAAGTATTGTCTTCCTCATGCATCAGTTTTTCAATTTAGTTACATTCACAAGCCAAGGCATCATGATTACATCCTAGTATCCTTTATTGGATTGCAAATCAATTCTCAGCCTTTAGTATACAAGGTTTTCTTATTATTTTGTGGACTTCTTAAATTGAAACAGTATGGAGGAAATGAAAACAATATAAATTGGATATTGTTTGCAACACAAGATCTTAAAACCGATATTAGAGATGAATCTCAGGCATGCAATAGGACAAGATGCTATGCGAACCAAATATAATTATGCGATATTGAAAGTGAAACTCTACAATTATAAACTATAGCACCATTAGTAACCATAAGTTGCAATCCTTCACGAATTTGAAAATGAATGTCTCATCCATAATGGCCTGGGAAATTTCATTTTGCAATAAGAACAGATTAATTTATTTCGTTTAAAACTTACTCTCTCAATCCCTCCGCCACAAATGCGTGATTTGTATTAGAGTTAAAGATCTGTTGTACAGCTATATGAGTCTTTTACCCGTAAAAGGTACTAAATTTTAACTATACAAAGAAGTTATTGTCAATGTCACCTTAGACCTTTGCAGAGGACACTACTACTCTGTTAGATCTAACATCTAATGCCAAATCCCCAAAATTACAGCAATGCCAAAAAGAAGCAAAAGTATACCATTTCCCCCTGGCAGGATGGATGACCTGCAAAATTCAAGCAAGCTTTTCAGATGCAGTCAGTCATAATCAAGAGACGACATTGTATATTAGACAATTTTATTAGGAGTAGTCTAGTTGATACTCAAACTTGCATATAGATTAACAAGTAAAACTTGAAATTTTGTGATCTCAGTACTAATCTTGCAATTCATCTCAAAGTTCACCGAATTTATGTAGTAGATAGTCGTGCAAATGAACTGGTTTCTTTTATTATTTCTTTACTCTATCATTGTTTTAGACTACGCATAGAAATAGAAGGTAATAGATTTGGGGAGTCTGTTATCTCTTAGTTTGTGAAATACTTCACAAAGCAAACAAAGGCTCTAGATCGATTTGACTAGATTATGGTAGGACAAGAAGAATGCCGCGAAGCTAGCATTTTTTAGAACACAAACTTGACAATAACTCATTCAAGACTCAGGTCTTTAGAATGCAAGGCTTTTAGTTGAATTGTTGTTTTGAAAATGTATCAATATCAATACTATGTTAGCAAATATTATCTAGATTTCCTATTCTAAGCAATACCTGAGCTTCTTCCTCGATTGCTGTATGTATGCCATTGCTGGAGGAAGAATGCCAAACAAGAAGCAGTTTGCATAAACCCCAGCAAAATCTAGAGCTCTTGAAAAGGTTGAGGGGAAGAATGATGCTATGAGAACTGGAAGACTCAGAACAAGTGGCATTACAAATCTTTCCAATATGTTGAACCCAGCTACGCTTGGTCTAGATTTATCTTCTGAGGCACCAATACCCCTTGAGCCATTAAATGAAATTCTCCCAATATTTCCTTGATCACTCTCACCTGAATAAGTTACAAACCCAACTCTTCCAAATCCATCTCCTTTAGAAACCATTTGAGACTGATGGAAATTATGTTCTACCGAATTCCCTTTCCCAAAAATCAACTCCAGGGTATCAACAAGCTGCTTTGGCAAGCTAACAGCATATCCTATGAAGCTAGTAGCCAAAGCGGCAAATGCAAAGCCTTGAACTGCAGATAAAGCAGAAGGATTAACTGAAAGCAAGAGGGATATGGGGTCTTTGGAGGAGGCAGCTCTGTTTGTCCCAGCAAGCCCCAAAACAATCAAATTCCAGGACAGAACCATAATCAATGGGACAACCCCACCAATCAATACTGCTTTTCGAGCCTCAGATACAGTGTTCCCAGCAATCTTACAAATAAAAGGAGTGATAACATGGAACCCTAATGTGAGTACTGTTACAGGTATAGCAGGCAAAATTGATGAAAGACTCCAGGAGGCATAAGCAAAGGAACCTAATACATTACTTCTAGCCACAGATAAACCAATTCCCACAAGTGCAGTTATGGAGAAAAACATAAGGAAGCATAAAAACCTATTTGCAACATCAATGACCTTAAAAGGAAAGAACCCAATTACAATCCCAGCCCCCAGAGGAAACAAAGCATGAGCCAATACAAAATTCATCCATGGAAACAACTGAGACACAATTGAACCAATGCCTGAAACACAAGCCACTAACA